GAAGAATTTTATATGGCATTTGTTTTGCAGAACATAGGAAAATCTCAGACTCTTCTCTTTATACAGGTAAAATGGAAGTATGAAAATAAATTTGAAAATGCAAAGAGTGCCTTAATTTCAGGTATAAATTTTGTTGTCATAAATGCTATAAATAGTAGTAATATCCTCAAGTTTATGAGTGTTATCCTAAAGCAAAATAAATAGCATCCAGGATAAGGAATTGAATAATACAAAGAATAACTGTACAAAAGTTTATTGACACCCTGGAAAAGGCTAACTGACCGTGACTTTCAGTTAGTATCACACTGTTCTTAGGGTAATGTGAAAGATATTAGAAAAGATCAAATGGTTTTGTAATATTTTGGATTCAGCATATGTTGCAATCAATCACATTTACAATCAATGGCAATCAGTTCATTCATGCTGATTAAAAATGCTTCTCACCATCTGCCACATAATAAACAAGCAGTAAAGAATTAATAACACTTGAAAATATTTTTTAAAAAGGTAATTGTGTTTTTCTCTCCATTAGCTTTGCAAAACAAATGTGTATAAACTGATCATCTTCTGTGAAAAAGGGAAGCAATTTATTATGAACTCAAATTTATAAGGTGGGAAAGGATTACATAAATAACTCAATAGAAATAAAAGGTATTGAGACCAAAAGATACAAAGCTGAATAAATAATTTCCAGTGTAATGGCACTTTAAAATACGATATGGAAAAAAATTTTAAACACTTAAAACTACCAAGAGCTCGAATTTGTTTTCCTAGTCTCTTGGTTATAAATAGATTATTTTGTAAGCTTAAGGAAAATAAAGAAAGGCTTAGAGAAAGTTAAAAAATGAAATTTAGGGGATGTAGGTGAAAGGGGGGAAGTGAAAAAGAAGTCCTAGGAGGAAATTTTAAAAGGTAATGAGTTTGCTGAATCTTGAAAACAGAAAGCTAAGGGATAGCTTAATTTGTTGCATTTATGTACATAAAGATTATTTGAAAAGGACACAGAATTATCTATATCTACCATAGTTATAGAAAGTAAAAGTAGAGATGGTATTAAATTAGAGGAAGCAGTGTTTTACTTAGTCGTAAAGAAGGTTTTGTAACAATTTGAAGAAAAATTTGAGTCAAGGAGATTGTTAAGCTCACAATATTTTTAAACTGAGGGAGAAACATATAAATTATGATTTAGGTTAATATTTTGTTTAAATAGAACAACTGTACATAAATCCCTTTCAATTTGGTAACTATTGTTTGAAATTTCAGTTACCAATATTTCCTTCATCTGTAAAGAATTAAATGTATGGTAATCTGTTTGAAGGATTAATCAGTTCTCCATGGAACAAAAAAAGGGCTAATCACAACAAAAGGCAAGGCATTATGCCTTGGTTTTCGAATTATGAGTATCTAATGAGTTTAAAAACATGGGCATAGCTAATTTGTTAAAAAAAATTATTTCAAAGCATAGCCTATAGGCAAAAGATTTTAGAACACCTTCATTCAGTTTTCCCCTGTATTTGATGACTTTTAGGTGAATAAAGTCTCCATCTAGAATCCTCTCTATAATTTTGCTCTGGACTGAGATTGGGATCCTGATTTTATCTCAAGTGACTTTAAAACTGTGATGACCCAAACTTTTCAAATTTTTACATTCCTTGACATTTGGGTAGATACACCTAAGTTCCATATTTATATCTCATTCTGCTTTAAACTCATTTTTCCTAAAATTCTAGGTTGTTGCCTAGTTGATAGGGATTGCAGCGTCAAAAGGCAAATAATTCCCAGCTATATGCACATAGCTGATAAAAGCTTATTAAGAAATTCTCCCCAGGCTGAGTCCCTTCGCTGTTCTCCTGAGAGTACCAAATTGTTAACCAGCTGATACCCCAATACAAAACACAAAGTTTAAAGCTAAAAATGAAAGAAATTCTCCCCAGAGCCTCAGTACTAAAAGACACCTATAATTGTTCATAATTACAGAATTTCTGAAGAGTGGGTCAAGAAAGTACTGCAAATTATATCCCATAAACTACCTTTCACTTAATTTAAAGTAAGACTTATCCTTCTTTTCTTTGTCATTATACACATGAAAAGTGAAAGTGAAGTCGCTCAATCGTGTCCCACTCTTTGCGACGCTATGGACTGTAGCCCACCAGGCTCTTCTGTCCATGGGATTTTCTAGGCAAGAATACTGGAGTGGGTTACCATTTTCTTCTCCAGGGGATCTCCCTGACCCAGAGATCGAACTCAGGTCTCCCACATTGCCGGCAAACTCTTTACCCTCTGAGCTACCAGGGAATCCATTATATACATACTTTCTTAATTTTTTCACCCCTATTAGATTTGCCTTTCATTTTTTCTTTTTCCCTAAGTCTTCTTTACTTTTGCAGTTCCTTATTTCCTATTATTCTTGGTTGCTTAGGAGCTATGCACAGGTTCCTTACCCATCTTCCTTAATTATATAATTATATGTATCCAATTATATTCATATAATTTCAGTTACCTAAATACATCCTCTTTGATCTTTCAAAAGATATTTAATTCCTGATATATTTGCATAGCTCTTTTCTGCACCTGGTATCATTCTAAGTTGGGGATACATGGATAACTACACAGATGTAGTCCTTAACTTTCTGGGAGTCACAATCTAACTGGAAATGAGAACAAACAAAAAAATCAGTGAACTACATTTATAGTACTATAAAATAAAATGCAGTGTTTCTTAGAAAGCAAATATATTTAATCTGCACAAGATGGTTTTTAGTTTGATTTCTAAAAGAATCCATGTGAATAAATGTGTCCAACTCTTTAACTGCAATCTGCTAGGCTTCTCTGTCCATGGAATTCTCCAGGCTAGAATACTGGAGTGGGTAGCCACTCCCTTCTCCAGGGGATCTTCCCAATCCAGAGATCAAAGCCAGGTCTCCTGCATTGCATGCAGATTCTTTACCATCTGACCACCAGGGAAGCCCCTAAACAATATGAATATTATATTCTCCAATTATTATATAGAAAGAGATAATTAGAAGATGTAATGAAATATCTTTTAGATATGGGAATTTGATATTATCTCCTGGTGCCAATCCCAATACCATTTTATTTTCTTATTATTAATTTATGTTTTATACTGAGCACTATTATAGGTGTGTGAAAGAAGAAAAAATAACATTTACTGAATATTTACCTATAGTAGGTATACATTGAATGCACTATTGCAAAACCTTAATTATTTAATCATTATTCCAATGATTTTATTTGCTCTGAGGAGTTAGAATTACTAGTTGTAATGTCATGGATAAATGAAGGTTCAAGAACTTGCCCAAAATTACCTTTGTCAGTAACTGAAGTACAGTTTAAATCTTGATTACAGAATCCAAAGGACATATTCCTTCCACTGTGTTCTGTTGCTTCTGTAACTAAAACTAAAATTACAAGATAATGTGATAAATTCTTACATAGAGGTTTGAACAAGATACTTTTCACTATTGCATGATGCCCTTCACAGTTTTAAGCTTCACAGACTATGTGCTAAGTACCTTAGGGCTGCTGCTGCTGCTAAACCGCTTCAGTCGTGTCCGACTCCGTGCAACCCCTTTGACGGCAGCCCACCAGGCTCCCCCGTCCCTGGGATTCTCCAGGCAAGAACACTGGAGTGGGTTTCCATTTCCTTCTCCAATGCACGAAAGTGAAAAGTGAAAGTGAAGTCGTTCAGTCATGTCCGACCCTTAGCGACCCCATGGACTGCAGCCGACAAGGCTCCTGCGTCCATGGGATTTTCCAGGCAAAAATACTGGAGTGGGGTGCCATTGCCCTGCAGTACTTCTCAAATTATCTTTGGTGGAGAATCGGGTATTCTTCTTCAGTCCTTCATGGACTGACACTTTAACAAACACAAAATTTTATACTTGTTTGCTATCCTGTGAAATTTCTAGAGAATTTTCTAAACACTCTCAATTTCTGCACCTAACATGATGCAGACTGTTAACAGGTTGTGGACCTGCACCTCTGTGTGGATCAGTTTTCATTGCTTCAAGGAATCAAATATGAATAAATCATAATCCCTGCCTTCCAGAAGCTTACAGCCTACGAGGTGAGTTAGACCAGTACTCGGTTTACTAAAATACAAGGAATAGTAAAATAAATGCTTGTAGTATAAAACAAGACCTCACAAATATGGTTAAAATTTAATAGAACTTGAAGACAAGTATCTTCCAGAGATGGGGAGTCAAAAGAAAGTCTCTGTCTATGAGAATAAGGCTTGTATTCTTAAAAGTTGATGGAAGAATTGAGAAGTGAAGAGTATGTGTGATTGGAGCTAGCCTATATTAGTTTGATCCAAAAGTCAAAAATTTCACATTGAATTCCTATTACCCATGTTGACTGATCTTATATGTCATTAATAACATCATAGCATCTACCCTAGAAGGAAGCAGAGTGGTATTATATACAGAGAAAAGTTGGTAGTTATTCTAGTAATTTAAATTCTAGTAATAATAAAGTAAGACTTCATAGATGCAATCAATATTTAAGTAATATTGAAGATGAATGTGTTCCCAGAGGTAGGGATTAGGAAGGAGGAGATAGGTCTGTCTACTGGATGAAGGTTTATAAGGCTTCAAAGAGATTGCAATAGTGATTAGCTCTATATGACTGGGCAGATAATAGTTTTGAACCCAAAATCAAAAAGACTTGGGGTTGAATGCATATTACTCATGTTTATTTTCTTGTGTCTCATGAGTAATATAGTGTATCAACCCATGGAGGAAGAAAAGGGTATTAAATGCAGAGATAAGTTGGTGGCAAGAACAGCTCCATATAACAGCCACCGGTTTTATTGTGTAAACACAGTTTAGAGGCCATGAGCATTTTATATCAGTTTTCATGCTAATATGTAAATTGGCTTTCATAACTTTGACCTTTCTTCTTCAAATTCATCAACACAATTGTCATAATTTACACTTTCTCCTTTTGTGCTCCTTCAGATAGCAATGCTAACAAAGTCCATGGATGGAGCAAATAACTCCGTGGTATCAGAGTTTCTGTTCCTGGGACTCACTGACTCCTGGGAAATACAGCTTCTCCTCTTTGTGTTCTCCTCCACATTTTTCATGGCAAGCATGATGGGAAACTCCCTCATTATTCTCACTGTGACTTCTGACCCTCACTTACACTCCCCCATGTACTTTCTGTTGGCCAACCTCTCCTTCATTGACATGGGTGTTTCTTCTGTCACTTCTCCCAAGATGATTTATGACCTTTTCAGAAAACGTAAAGTCATCTCCTTTAGTGGCTGCATCACTCAGATCTTTTTCATCCATGTCATTGGTGGTGTGGAGGTGGTGCTGCTCATCGCCATGGCCTTTGACAGGTACGTTGCCATATGTAAGCCTCTCCATTATCTGACCATCATGAGCCCACGACTATGCATCTCCTTTTTAGTGGCTGCCTGGATGATCGGCCTTATCCACTCCACAGTTCAACTGGTTTTTGTGGTAAACTTACCCTTCTGTGGACCTAATATGTTGGACAGCTTTTACTGTGACCTTCCTCGGTTGATCAAACTTGCCTGCGTAGACATAAACCAACTAGAGTCCATGGTCACAGCCAACAGTGGATTCATCTCTATTGGCTCCTTCTTCATTCTGATCATCTCCTATATCATCATCATTCTCACTGTTCAGAAGCACTCTTCAGGCAGTTCATCCAAGGCTCTGTCCACACTTTCTGCTCACATCACTGTAGTAGTTTTGTTCTTTGGTCCTTTGATATTTGTCTATACGTGGCCATCTCCCTCCATCCACCTGGATAAATTTCTGGCCATCTTTGATGCAGTTCTCACTCCTTTCCTGAATCCAGTCATTTACACACTCAGGAATCAAGAAATGAAAGTTGCAATGAGGAGGGTATGCAGACCCTTAAGAAAGATTTCTTAAGTGATGCCTGTAGTGTAAAGAGCCCTTGTTGATTATTGGCGGTCATTACTGATGATCAAACTCAGACAGAAGCTTTTGGATGTTCTACCTTTATTTAATTATGCACACTGATATCAAGTTTATTTTGTCTTTCACTTAGGAGGGAGTGACATTCACTTCTGAAGAGAGAGGTGTTACATATTAAGCATTTACAATCAAAGATTATAGTAATCTTGAGCCTCAGTTCCTAAGGAATAATATTAATATGAAGTAACCACTAGAAATACAAAACAGGCAAACTTCTTTATGGCCTTGAGAACAGGGAGAACATGTCTCTCTCCTTTTAACAAGAGTCCTTCTCAGAGACAGGAATTCCTATGAGCACATAGCAGGAGACTTGCTAAAATGAGGACTGAAATGCTGCAACTTGCCCACATTCTACCCTTCTTTGGGTCTCTGCCAGGGCTGTGCAAAGAGGGCAGACTCTTCAAGAGTAAACACACAGTCTGAGAACATGCATGTAGGCACCCAGAGGTCACACAATTCTGGGTAGAAGCCACAGAAGTTGTTCTTGGAATACAAAGATCTGGGAAACACCAGGTTTTTTCTCTGTGATTAGCGTTATGCTACTTGAACCCATTACATTTCCTTCCTTTTTTCTTCCTATATCTTCCTCTTCACTTTTCTTCAGCCACTTATGGGCTCTGGGCTAGGAAAACTTTTCCCCCTTTCCCTCTTCTTTCTCAGGCTTTCTTCCTTATTCCTCCTTGTTTCCCCCTGGCCTGTGTTTGCTGCTCTGTCCACTTCTAACTTCCCTTACTGATGCCCCTTTTTAATTGCTCTATTGTAGTTAGTATAAGTCACCAACTCAACACATTTCATGTCTAAAGAATTTATTATTCTTCAGGAGTTCAGCTGTTGAGTGTGATAGAAGGGAAAATAAATGGTAAGAGAAGGGGAGGGTCCCTTATGGAAGTGACTTTCATACTTTTTGACAGTGATTCATAGTAAGAAATATAGTACACATTGTAGTACATACAATACCCCATCCCCATAAAAGACTGAACTAAGGTTTAACGTAGCAATATTTATTTTTATGAAATTTTGCTTTCCTTTCATTTTCTTCCTACTAAGAACTGTCTAAAACACTTTGTGAGTTGTTTACAGAGTCTCTGATTACTAAGAAAATTAAACAGAAGTAGAGAGTTACATTCACTGCTTCTAGTTAAAAGCAGAATAAATATACCAAGATCAATGTGTTATGTCATTCTAACAGATATCCAAAATCTAGTCTTTCTTTAATATAATATTTAATAGTATAGCAATTCTAAATTTATTTAAATAAGCCTATCAAACCTTTACTATGCAAATGTTGTCAAAACTAATATATATCATTGCTTCAATTTAGCTCCTTATTTGAAATTATATATATGCATATATAATCATATGATATATATCCAAAGCAGATAGAATTTGCTTCCTAAAACCCATCTTTAGCTCTCTATATCCATTCAGGTCTTCTTTTATAAATACACATTAACAATACCTTCTTTTTATTGAAAACACTGTGCATTATTTGTAGTGAAAGAAAAATCATGCCTTGATTAACACAATTTTAATATACCAAACTCTTATTAAAACAAATTATACATTCGATTCTTGGTGTCTATAACTTAGTATTCTTTAGTACTAAAAATGATTACATGCATGTATCAAAGCCATTTAGTTTTGCTGTTTACTATCCACTTTCAATTTCTGGAATAAACATTTTATCTTAGGATAAATGTACCCTTTTTCCCCTTGATAGTTTTTGGTCATTTTAATTCTAGTATAGCCTCAGTCACCCATATTAATTATTACTTTTAACAAACATAAGCAATTTATATTCCACTGAGAGTTCTTGAAGGAAAATAGAGTAGAATCATCTGTCATGTACAATCATTTTAGTAAACTAGCAAAACTCATGAACACACTAATATAACCCCCACAGACACACACATTCTGTTCATATTTTCTTATAGGTAGTATAAATGGTATTCTTAAAGTTGCAAAAATGAACATAAGCAGTAACTTGATCAAAAGATATAGACACTCTATAAAGATGTAAATAAGTTCACACACACACACCACTGAATGTTTCAACATTCAAGCTTTGAATAATTCAAAACTTATTCAAAGAATATCTACTAATTACTATGTTTAATAGCAAACCAAGGTCTTAAAATTGCTGAAGTATTAAACATTTTGTTTAAATAGACACACTACAGAGCTGTCAGAATTATATCTCAAATTGAACACATAAGTTTGCATTTTTTTCTAATTCTAAATGCTTGTCTTATAATCTTTACTGGTAAGGTTGGAAAAGATATCTATCACTGTTTTATTAAAAATATTATCAATTGAATCTGAATTGTGCAAGGATTTATTTTCACTATGTGAATTTGGATTTTCATAGAAAAACACTTCTGAGTTAGTCATTTTTATAAGAAATTTTCTGAAAAATCTAGCAAATTTAAAGGGGTAGAAGTTCATTTTTAAAATTTTGCAATATGGGCTGTATTATTATACATTCATGTCAGCCTCTTTTTTTTTTTTCATTTATTTTTATTAGTTGGAGGCTAATTACTTTACATCATTGCAGTGGGTTTTGTCATACATTGAAATGAATTAGCCATGGATTTACATGTATTCCCCATCCCGGTCCCCCCTCCCACCTCCCTCTCCACCCGATCCCTCTGGGTCTTCCCAGTGCACCAGGCCCAAGCACTTGTCTCATGCACCTGTAAAAGAATGAAACTAGAACACTTTCTAACACCATACACATGTCAGCCTCTTTTAGAGGCTTTGTACAAAAATTATTAATATCTCCTTGAGTTGGACTATTTCACATTCACATGAGTTTCTCAACTGCAGAAATACAGCCACACATAAAGTTCCCATGCTCAGATTTACAACCTTACCTACGGATCAAGAGTAGAATCAGATTTACCAAGACATCAAAAGAAGAGACACACACAGGCATTAGATCACAAATAAACTTTCTACTTATAGTGAAAAAGAGACATATTCTTACACAAATAGATTTTTTTTAATTTTTAGTTAAGTAACAGAGCAAATTCTCTATCACTTCTCATCTGATAGAGAATAATTTTTGTGCTAGTTTGCTAGGGCTGCGATACTGCATACTACAAACTGGCTGGCTTGCAGAACAGAAATTACTGTCTCACATTCTGGAGACAGTAACTCCTGACTTCCCTTACTGCTGCCCCTTTTTAATCGCTCTACTGTAGTTATTATAAGTTGCCTCCTCAAGCATACTCCATGTCTTGAAGAGTTTATTATTCTTCAGGAGCTCAGCTATCTAGTAGGAGTGAAGGGAAAATAAATGGCAAGGGGGGGTTCTAAGGGTACTCAACCCATGATGCTTGCTGATGTCTCTGACCTCAAAGAGGGCTCTAGCAGTTCATGGTTCATTGTCACTACTACTTGAGTAACTGTGAATTTTCTTCCTATGTTGTCTAGATGGGCTTTAAGTTGCTGTTTTGTCACTGTCTGCAGGGTGGGAGAATCTGCACTTAAGCCCCTCAGTTATGACCCTCTGTATCACAAGACATCACAATGAGGATGAGGTTGGATTCACATGGATATTGTGTCTCCATCTTTCCTCATCTCTATGCAGGAGCTGTCAAATCTCCCCTCAGGTCTTCTTCAGGAAAAGTTGCTCTGTATAGAGCTTTAGGATTGTTCTGTCCATGGAAGCAGATGAGCTCAGTGTCTTCCTATGCTGCCGTCTTGCCTTTCTTCCAGTCAGGGAATAACCATTAGTTGTACACTTCTCTTGGAGGGGAAGATGGCCTATAGTATAGATCATACTAATTTGTGAGGAGGGCTAATGGTTGGTTTGTTTCTTTAAGACCTAAGAAAGAACGAGAGTATACATTTTTTATGGTGGAGTCTGAGAAGTATACATGGATGGACTTTCCAGAAATGACAGAGACTGCCCATGTAAAAGACTCTTAGAGATTATTCACTATACAGGAACAAGAAGACTTCCTTCTGTGATGTAAAACAACCTCTTTTCCCAGCTATCTTGGTATTGTTTCATTGGTATCACATGCTATTCATTATTAATTGGTACTAAACTGTGCTGATAGAAGCATAGTTGAAGTCTCTGCATAGATTAAGCAACATGAATTTCCCTCACTTGGGTAATCTATCTTTTTGCTGAGTGCCAAAGTTTCCCATGCAGATGTAAATCTTCCCTGTATGGTGCCACACCTCATCATACTCTCCATAGACTCACTGTCTACTTTTTCTGCAAGTATTAGAGATTTGTCTCCATACTGTGCTGATTTTTCTTTCCCAACTGTGGTGCTTCTGCTAGCACTACCATTTGTGGACTTACAGAATACCTTTTCTGCCTTATCTGTTCCTATGGTGTCCATGCAACTTTAGCTCTGGACACATTTTTATAGGCAATGAAGTGTGATAATAAGCTTACACCCATAGAATTTACTACACTTACCAGAAGCATCTCACTGATGGAGTGGTAGAATGGACTGATTAATGATCAGATTTTTATCAACTGGGAGGTGAACACCTTTCAAATTTAGGATGCTTCCTATTTGGTGCACTATATATCTTAAGCCAGTGAACAATATATCTTGCCTTCTATCCTAAAGGTAGCATATATGAACCCAAGGTACAAAAAGTCACTTTTACAAAGGGCCAAATCATTTACAATGTAAATTTATGCTTCCTATTCTTGTGAACTTTGGTTTATTGGGTTCAGATAGCTTTG